GCAATGGCCGATGGCCCGACAACGCCTGTCCAGTTCCAGCTAGGATCCATGAAGGGCCTAGAACTCTCTCACCTCTCACCTCTTATCGGATTGAGATCACACCGTTACTACGCCTGCCTGTAGGTGGAGGAGCTTCGTCACTATATGGCGAAGCTTGCTACCGTTCCGTCGGACAGTCAATTCGCCGATGTCTTGCCAGCCTGTGCAAAGGCTTGGGCTGCCCGCGCACTTGACAATGGACAAAAGACTGGTGACACGTTAACAGTGACGGATGGACTGATGACTTCACAAGGGAGACCTTTTTCTCAAACGGCCTTGCCCAACCTGGCCAGGTTTTCCTGCACAACCTCTTGGAGATGCCAAATGTCCGTGAGATGATTGGACAACATATCGAAGTTGCCGCCAACCTGGACCAAAATCCGCAATTCCAGGAGCATTACGGAAAGCACATGCCGGTGCTGCTAGCATCGATGTCCAATATGTTTGCTCTACTACGTGGAAGACTGTTCACTGCCAAGGACTCTAGATTGAATGAGTCATCCTATTTATTGTTTGGTTGCAATAGTTAGTTGCGAGGAGAGATACAATTGGGTAGATAGATATGTTGATAATCTGTGGAGGCTATGGGGGGCAGTGGAGGTGGCCATGTATCGGTCCATGTGGCAAGTCATATATGTAATATGATATGGCAAATTACTCACGTTACCAGCACTAATTACATGGCAACGTCGTTCCGTGATGCGTTGCAATGCTTATATTTTTCAGTGATCAGTGAGCTTGCTATCCGTGTAAGGAACTGGTTGAGGCCCAGATCGTGCCAGCCCACAAGGTGAGCTGGGAGGCGTTAGGGTTCAAGGCAGCCCCAATAGACTTCGATGCTGCAAATGTGCCTTTTCAGGCTTTGAGAAAGATGGCTGGCAACAGCTTCAATCAGGCATGCTTTGTGGCCTGGCAAGCGTTTGTCTTGAGCAAACTCACCCTACAGACAAACAATTGATGTTTGCGGGCTGGCGATGGCGATTGGTTGTAGCCAGTGGCAGCTAGTCGCAGTGTCCTCATCAAGACTTGTGCTGGTTGACGAGTCGGTGGGATGCTTGACACAGCTTGCTACATTTTGTGGCACCAGCACCGTGGCGACACCAGTTGAAAAGTGGTACGCCGCCGCCGCCGGGCTAGATGGTCTTCCAACTTCTGAGTGACTGTTGATTTCCCGACCTGTCAGCAGATGTGCTTTTTGTTTCGAGTTGAGTTGATCTTTGGTTTTGGCCTTGGCTATCAAATGTTATCAGTGTTGGCGGCCATGTCACAATTTTGCAAGCAAGCAATAAGAATACCATAAGATTCAGGTCTCAGGCCTCAGGTCAGCTGATAAGCAAGGTACGTGTTGTGTTGAACTTTGCCCAAGTGTGTGCTGTTACTCTGTCATTTTGACTGGCTAGAGCTTCTTTTGCTCGATTTCACACCACAAAGTGTTGGAAAAGTTTTTTCCGTGGGCGGCCTGGCCCTGGCGGCCTTTTCTTGATCTGCCGTTGTGTGCTGGTCAGCAATGTGTGACCTTAGTGGTGAGGGCAAAGATGCTTGCGAACCGGCGAAGGTGCTACCGCCACCACCTCCCGTTGACGACGCAAAGTGCCGATGTCGAGGGTGCAAGGCCATAATCAAAGATGATGCTAGCACTGGCAGCGACAAGAAGAAGCTGCCCGCCAACAAGGCAGGAGGCTTGAATTTAATTTTGGGTGGATGTTTGAGACTATGATGGTTTGATGCATGACGGACTGGGGCTGAGACCTAAATGGCACCAACACCGCCAACACCAATCACATAATGATACTTCCATGGATTGGACTGGACAGGTGTAGTTAGCATCGTCTCTGTCTCGCCGTTTGCTGAAAGTTGGTGAATAGCAACTGGCGATTCTGGCGGTCGGTGTTTTTGCAATCTTCCCTTCCATGGATTCCATGTTACTGCTTGGTACAGGTGAAAAACCTTTGCATGAAGTGCAGCCAGAAGCATCGTGGCATTGTTGCGAAGACCGAAGATGCATCTATGATCAACTGGCTGAATGACCTCAAGGAGAATGAACCCGAGGAGTACGTCAAGGTGCTGCAAGCGGCCGAGCCGGGACCTGGCCAGAAGTATAGCAAGTTCAACTTGACAATGTACAAGGAGACCCAGTACGCCAAGAAGATCCGTGGTGTTCGCGAGAACCAGGAGGCCATGACATGGTCCAGGTACTTGAAGTACCATACTGAGGAGATCTGTCCGGAAGATAGGATGACACCTGCGGAATGTCGTGCAAGTTGGATCAAAGACATGTCAACAGAGGACTTTGAGAAGCACGATATCTTTTCCAAGAAGACAGGCAACTTTGAGAAGCGTGACATTGTGTGGGTGACAACGGGAAAACAACGATACAAGAAGAAAGAAGAAGAGGAATCCAGATCAGTTCAGAGAATTCACTCTTCACAAACTGGCTCTGACTCGGCTGCGGCGTCAGCTCGCCAGCGGATGCAAAACTTTGTCACTCTCTCAGGCGACCGCGGGTTTGATGGTCCCCCACTGTTACACTGTTTCATAAACTTGCGACAAGCACCTCACCGACCACCGACCTGGATGTTCTAATGCTATCACAGTGTAGTGTGTCCCGACTGTATAGGTAGTTAGCCAAGAACTTTGTTCATCAAGCGTCAAGCCCGGAGATAGGTCGGAGGCTGACAATTTTCAATTTTGTTTATGTCCCCCAGGAGATTCGGATGATTTCTTCAAGTCGTTCATCACTGGCTTCTCAGCGGATGACTCGCAATTTGCCGGCTCGGGCTCGCAAGAGACGGCAGCAGCTCGAGCCAGGAGGAACAAAAGAAACAGTGGCGGCGGTCGCAACAAGGAGCGCCAATCGAGTAGAGTTGAGGGAGGTGCGTTTTGGCATGTCAGAGTTCAGGTTGTCATTCAGGTGGACTAGCTGCAGGCTACTCAGTACTCAGTCGGCTGAATTCAAAAGGTTGTAGGCTGTAGGTAGTAGGTGGCAAAGCATGGGCCCATTTAGACACCGGATTTCACACGGAGAAATCATGATCCTGATCCGTTGAGGACAAGAAGGTGGAAGACATGTCAGTGGTCCGAACAAAAGCACTTTGCACAATGGTGGGCCAGATCAAATTTGCTCAGGCATCGTTGAGTGATGCCCTGAGCAAAGCTGAAAAGTTTCAAAATGAGAACCAGGACATCGGGTTGGGACGGCGGGTTGCGATAATTAAGGCGTATGAATCATATGAACAGATGTTAAACTAATGAACTTCAGTATTCAGTATATCTAAATTTTGCAATCACAAGTCCAAGCCCAGCCAGCCAAGACTGCCAAGACCCAAGAATGATATATTTCTAATTCGTTCGTGGTGGTAAGTTGACAAACATTGAAGCGCATTGGCAGCATTGGCAATGGCAAAGTTCCAAGATGCAATCCGCTGATTGCATAGTTTGACGAATGTTGAACCTTTGGGTTTGGCGGCTTGACACTGTTTCCGGCCGGTCGGTTAGGACCTTTACCGCCAGTTCATCGCATTGTATGACAAGAGCGTACCCGAGAGCCGCATCATTCCAGATGCTGCCTTGCTGGGTCTCGATGATCAGGCTGGATGCATCAAGGTCATGTACGCATTCCAGCGGAGGAGGCAAGCGATCAGGATCTTGTCTACTAAAGCTCCTTGACTCAGCTGGGTAGTGTATACAAGTATACCGAGGTCTGACTCAGGTAGGCGGATGTGCTATATCCTGTTGTTGCTTTCTACGTTTTGAGACTTAAGACTTACTGTATGTTGCTTATTGTTTTGAGAGATTGTGACCGACTACTGACCATGGTCCTGACAGATGTGTGAGTTTGATCAAGTTTGGTAATGCTAATGCCACATGCCACTGCCACGCCAATTTGCCAATTGTTCTTATAAGGATGCTGACCTCGCACTGCCAGATGGACCAACCCTTGGTCCCTTGGAGACACAGCTTGCTGCCATCATGAAGGAAGATGGCTACCTTGGTGAACATGCTAGCAACGCTTGCATGATTTGCTATTTGGAGTCGCTAAGCGCAAAGGTCAGCATCTCTTTCAAGCTTGATTGATTTGGTTGTTCAGCTTTTAACTGTCGGCCCCATTCCATGATTCCAGTTGGACTATATGCAATTCTCTCCCAGGAAGAAGGATCATTTCGATGAATGCTCATCGAAAGAGGAGACTGACAAGAAGTGTAAGGCAACTTACAGCCTGCCGGCCTGCCGGGTCAATTTTAGATGTTTCAAGTTTCAAGGGGTTGTCTCACCCAATTTATGGTGATTGTGAAGTGGTGAGTTGATGTTTGTGAGATCATATGATCACATGGTTGAGTCAGGATTAGTTTCTTGCAAACTTACAGACTTCCAGACTTCCAGATTGTGATGATTCCAATTTTTATTGCTGTAATGACAGGCCCTCATGGAGCAAGCGTCAGCCACAAAGTCTGTGGCCACAGCGCTGCGGAAGTCGATAAAGGATATTGAGGGGATGACAAAGGCAAGGCTTTTGACTGGTAGTTGTGGTGGGGATGGATGATAGCATTGCACTACGAGGCTAGGAGGCTAGGGCAAGGACTCAAGGACTAGAGTTTTCATGTCACATGGATTCATGGGGCTGATGATGCTGATAGGCAGTTGGGCAGTGACTGGTTTGATATTTCTGTGATGGTATTGGCATTGATGCTTTTGTTCACTTTCAACTTTCAACCTCGACACTTCTGTGCACAGCAGGCAGTGAAGAAAGCACGAGAAGCTTTCGAAGCGAAGCGGAAGGAGCTTGAAAACCTTTCGCAAAACAAAGCAACTGCTGGCATGTAGCTAGATTGCACTGGGCAGCCTGCGCAAAGCTGTGTAGTTTCAGGATTCCTTATTTATTTAGTCTCTGTGTGTGACACCATGTGACGGTGTCGGTGTGTCATGTTTTGACATGACAGTCACTGACAGTCGGTCGTTGTCTCATGGCCAGTGCAAGGCTTGGTCGAACCAACTTTGCAAAGTGCATCGTTCCAACCGATCCGCCTATCCTGCAGCACTTCAAGCAGCTGAGCAATCTACGCCCCATGAATGTCCTTGCCAAGAGTTCGGCCAGTGATGCTAGTGGTTTCCAGCTCAACCAGGCCGTGATCATTCGGAAGGGGCGTTCCACCTTCCAAACGGTCACAAAGGACTATAAGGAGAAGATCGAAGCCGCCATGAATCAGTTCAAGACAAATTTGTCAGGGCAAACTGATCCTCGATCTGCGAATTTTGGCCGCAGTAGCAGTAGCAGTAACATCGTTCAACACCAAAGGCCCTTAATTAAAGACTACTTTTATCTACTTTCACATGTTGTGTCCCATGTAAACCCAATCCGCTGACATGACGTTGACATGAAACCGAAGTCGGAGGTCGGAGTCGGAGATGAGACATTATGCAGTGTATGTACCTTACCTTTGCCTTCTTGTGTTTTTTGATAGCTTTGCCCAAGACCTGAACAAACAGATCAGATCCGCCTGGTTGGTCCGCCTGCAAGCTGAGGGGTCTATTGAAGGATGATCAGGCTGACGGTGACGCTGGCACATTTGTCAGAGACAAGATGGTCGCTCATCTTCCTGACAACTGGAGGGAGTGTGCAGCCAATCCTATGATGAACTTGAGACCAACATCCAAAGCCACACCGATGGAACAAAGAGGGGCCTTTCAGATTTCAACGGCTTGTGGTTTTTTGGTGCCAAAGAAGGTTCAGTGCACTGCGGTCTGGAGTGTTCTGGGGTGGGCAACATGAAGCTTTGCGCTCTTTGACAGCACCTAGATTAGCTGGCCGGCTGGTCGGTAGTCGCTAGTTGCAATGATTCGATTGTCATAGTCATAGTCACAGTCATAGTAAAATAGTTTCGTCCGTATGATTCATAATGATGAGACTTCAAAGTAACTTCGCTATTTCCTGGCCTGGCCGCCAATTTCTAGGCTTACGGTGGCATGTTGGTGGTTAGCGCCGACATTTCTGAGATGGCCGGATTCTTCGGAGTGAATAGCATTCCCAACTTGCTGGATTCTCTGAAGACGATGGAAATTCAGAATATCCCTGACGCCTTATCACTTCCGTCGCTATCAGCGGGCTACATGAAAGTGGGCGACATGCTGGCCCTACCGATGGGAACACTTGCCATCACGAAGGCAATCAATGGAGATTGTGTTGGGCTGAGGACTGTTGTTCAAAAAATTTGTTCATCAATTTCGATCAATATCCCTCCCACCCACCGCATTCTTGTCAGCCGTAGCTTGGAGGGGTAGACTGGGTAGACTGGCAGGGTAGCAAACCTTGAGAGGATTCATTGCTGCACGTTTCCGGAGTCTTCTGTCACAACCTTCAAGGAGCTTGTTTGCGAACAGGCCGGTCGGGCCCCGTCAGGCCGTCACATATGTTTTGGTGAGGCGGTCGCACTATTGTCGGTGAGACATTGGTATTGGCCGGCCGCCTGGCTTCCGGCTACACTGCTCACAGAATTTGTCACAGAATAGTTGTTTATGTATATATATATAGGCAAATATTTATATATTGTAATGGGTTATATCCTAACCCATCAATCTTTATAATATGACTAAACTTATCGGCATCTTATTGACTTATATATAAATATTTAAGTTCCATTTTTCTGGATTCAGACTCGTGACTGTGACTCGTGTCACTCGGCTAAGACTCAAACAGTTTCATGACTCCGTCTCTCCCTCCGATTGTTGGCAGGTGATGAGTAAGCCCATCATGGAGTACACCCTTGCAGCGATGCCGAAAGTTCAATCGTTCCAGAGCGCTGTCCCCGACGGGGCCGTTGCTGACGATGAACAAGATGAGTTTGAGAAGGAACTACTCGAGGAGCTGGAGGAGCACAAAGCCTTGGAGCAGGCTCGCAACAACTGGGTGAGTGGCAGTTGTCCGTGGGCTCGTAGACTGATGCTGTAGACTTGAGGACAGTGACAGGGTGACTGTGATTCATTTGATGTGGTGCGACTGCGACAGTGATATTATAATATTGGTTTATTATTGGTAAATTTACTAATCTATTCTTGCGTGAATATGGTGACTGGTGAGCACTCCTGACTGAATTTGGGGGACCTCTGTGAGGTGCCACCGCCTGGATTTTGGGAACCAACACCGATAGCAACCCCAGTGCCTGGCCAAACCCCAGCAGCAGAAGCAGCACCGGCCTGGACATCAGCAGCAGAAGAAGCAGCAAAAAGCAAAAACAATGACGTGGCATCAGCACAAGAGACAAATCCGGCAGCACAACAGCCAGAAGAGCCACAACACACGGCATCAGCAGCAGCAAAAGGAGCAACAGGTTCAACAGATGGCGATTCTGAGTTTCCGGAGCATTTGAAGAAGTATTGGCCTGATCTAGCTTGTCCAGGTTCCGGCTACACAGTAGCTGAGCTCGAGTGGCTCTACAAGCAACCTCCTGGAACTGTCCTGTGGGACAATCAGCCAACAACGATCGAAGCGGCAGCGCCAAACCAAAGCACGGCACTACAACCAGCAAACAAAGACAAAAAAAGTGAGCCGGCAGCAAAAGCTCCAGAAGCACCACCA